CAGTGGTATTACTTTTTGGTATTAGAATGGAATAAATCCTCCGGTCGAGCCAGCCCATTCGTGCCGAAGCATGGCTCTCCCACACTTAAACTGTCCAGTTGTCTATTATCGCCTACAAAATATTACTTATATGTTGGTCGGTCGGTTGACTCTAAACTCACATATTTTGTTATTTGATTGATAACTATTGCAAACGACATAAAATAACATCACGCCTTTTTATCCCCGAATGGGTAGACTGAGGTGTACATTATGACACTTAATGCCACTGTACAGATAGATAGGATATAGAAAATGGCCGTAAGTGAATGCGCGCCTTTATAGATAACCAAATTACATAAAATATTTACGAAGAATTTTTAGCGTTTTGAAATATAATTTCGTGTGAATTCATTTTGCAATTTTATGCAAGGTTAATGGATGAGGTCAATCAATTGGTTTCGGTTTGTAGTGTGTGTAACTGTTCACGGTTAACACTGACTGAATTTAGCAGTGCTTTAGGCAATCCTGCCTTAATGATTTTTGGATAAGGTAGAAAATACATAACATAACATCATGCCTTTTATTCCCGATGGGGTAGGCAGAGGTGCACATTACGGCACTTAATGCCCTTGTACAATTTAACACCATTTAACATTTATGTTATGAATCCCATGCAATAGGGGGTGAGCCTATTGCCACATACCGGGCACAGTTCCAGACTCCGTGCTACTACTGAGATTTTTTTAAAACCCAGCTATACTTTGCCCCTCCCGGGAATTGAACCCGAAACCCGAGATCCGAGAGCGGTCGCAAGTGCGACTGCCAGGCAAGGGGTCTCGGGAACTGTATCCGGTATATGGCAATAGGCTCAGCCCCAGTTACATAGGACTCTTAACATAAGTAGTGAAAACTGGGTATTACCTCTACATTGCACAGTGGCATTTAGTGCTGTAATATGCACCTCTGCCTACCCCTTTTGGGGATAAAAGGCGTGATGTTATGTATGTATGTTAATACAAGTATCTTTCTCCTTTTTCAATAAAATTTCCAATTCACTGGTCTCTTACTAACGATAATATATTACTATTTCTTCTATTTGTTACAAAATTGAATTTATTTATTTTAAAATCGATCACGCATATTAACGTTTTTCGTAACATCTCATTTGAACTATAAACAGATGCTAGCTTACAAAACATACGGACTGCATAACTTGCATAATTGAACAGGTCTAAAAACAAAATGGATACCTTTCTAGTAATTTTCTTCACGTTAACTATAAAATTATAAATGTTGTAATCTAAGAAATGTTGCAAGCTTGGAAAACCGCTAAACTGTGGGGTCTTAGGGCATGATGACGCAATGGCCACCTGGAGAAATTATGACGTAAGCGGTGGAAAATATTGTGACTGTTTAGTATTGAGAGATAAAACCGTTGATTTATTTCTTTGTAACTTCCGATTTCTTATGGAAAACGAAAATGATTTGTCGGGTAATCTTTCAAGAAGGGCAAATGATGCATATAAATTGTTTGTCTACCTAAAACACATGGCTCCATTTTTATTTACATTATACAGAAGAATGACTATGATGAATGCCAGGGTGACTGACTAAGAAACAAAGTTTTATTGGCGTGTATTTCTCTTTGGCTTGCTTTTTATAATAACCGTTAACGTTAATAACTAAACTTGCTAGCGTTAACGTTATTAATGTTAACGTTGCCCTACACTAGGATTTTCTCCTGTGTCGTGGGTGCGTTTACAAACATACAAGGTCACTTACATGTGATACCCAGACCCGAAACTACAATTTACGGATCACACAATGAGTTGCTCCGTGTGAGAATCGAACCCGCGACACTTTGCGCGGCAGCCAGTTACCTAGTCACCGCACAAAACGTGCGCCCTCTAACAATATACACAATTTTTTTTTTATATTTGATGGGGCGACGTTTGACCAGTATCTCGCCTGGTGGTAAGCGATGATGCGATCGACGATCGAGCACGTCGTCCCATAAGCAACCTATTCACTCGGGCCTTGAAAACTCCTAGGTAAAAAACTAAAACTTTCCCTTCGGGAAATACAGACTCTGGCAAACATTTTACAGCTTTAGCATTGCTCTGCGTGAATTATAATATCAATCGTCACTGTCTAATGTTTTTTTCTCTTAAGTAGGCACTGCTTATTAGTTTAGCAAATATCTAAGATATTTTGCCTGATCCGGCAACAAAATCCAGAACATCGCACTTGGCAGTTACAATTGGATGATGACAGGGTTTGAAAATTTTAAATCTAATTAGTCGTCAGATAGGTAATGAAAAAATATTATTTTGTCGTATAATAAAACCATACATAAAACGAATCAAAGTTTAGGAGTGGTAGCTAAAATGTCATTTCTACGTATAAAATGTACATAGAACTGACGTCACGCGACACTTCAAATCAATATATCTCCGAAAGTATTCGTTTCTGTAAGAAAATAAAGAATACATGTCTAATATTTAAAATAAGTAATCTACCAGACGGACATAAAAATAAAAATTAGGCATCTACCCTATTTCGGCCACTCATACAATATACCACCAGAAACCAATTCACAATTCACATACCACCTCATAAATACATATCGTTATTTCGTTATCTTACATTATTACATAAAAATATTTGTCATACCGGAAAAAAATACCAATTTTATCACGTTATTATGGCCGCCCCGAAATTGGTAATAAACCTCTTTTTTATTTTGGCAACACTGAAGTGTTACACGTGTAATTCTGTTATGGTGAGGTTGCATATCTTGTACTAGTCAGTGACGTAACTAGTCTGACTGTCTGTATGTCAGCTGGTCAGTTCAGTGACATAACTGTATTTACTGTTTTACGTACATTTACTGGTCGATTGGCGTTGTTTATGACTCGTTGGTAGAGTATTTGCAAATGCGACTGCTGATCAAGAAGCCCAGGTTCGATTCCTGGATCGGCCAAAGTATTATAGACGTTTTTTGTTACTACTAAGTGGGTTCTATGTGTGAGCTGTTATACTTGCTTCTAATAAATAAGTATGGAAAAAGCGCCTAAACGCACGGATATTTAATCTAGATAGGTGGTTTTACGTATATACTGAAATTATCGACGCATTAAAGTTGGATGGTAATAAGGCCTCAAGATTTTCTATGGGATAAGCAGGTCAATGAGCCGACGGATCTCCTAGTGGTAAGTATTCGGCGCTGCCTATGGACACCTGGAACACCAGAGGCGTTACAAGTACGTTATCGGCATTTTGGGATTAGGATTTTAGGATTGGGGAGATTGAGGAGCGTGTTAAGTTTTTTTTAAAACATTGCCCCACGTTTGTATTTTCTCCTGTGTCGTGGGTGCGTTTACAAACATATAAGTCCACATACACATGATACCCAGACCCGGAACAACAATTTGTGGATCACACAAAGAGTTGTTACGTGCGGGAATCGAACCTGCGACACGTTGCACTATAGCCGGTTGCCCACCCACCGCACCAACCGCGCAGTCGAATTGAAGTAATTACAATGAAAATATAAAATTTAAACAGCTACCAAATAAAGCCTCATCTTTGTATTTACATTTATTCAAACTACCATTCGAAACCACCTGTCTCATTTGTGACTATCTCAGCTAGCCAGTCTCTTGTCACATCCACACACAAACATACATACATCTTGTTATATAATTATTTAACTATCTGATACATACTTTGGGCGTATACAGATGGAACATCGCTCGTAATTGGTTACGTCATTTATACTCACTAATAATGTACTGGTGGGTAGAAAACAGTTACAAAAAGTTTTTATGTGTTTACGTGAAAACTATCTACTGAACGGATATTGATACAGTTTATGCTAATAGATTCTTGAAGACTTTAGATAGATAGATTCATTTATTTACCTGAAATATGTTGCTTTACTGATTTTATAACATAACAATAGTTTCATCATATCGCGCCTATAAATTCGGCATGCAAATATTTTAACAAAACTAAACCACAATTTGGTGGCCCGGAGGTTTAAGACGCCTGCTTCTCATGCATGAGGTTGTTCATGAGCGGGTTCGAAACCTACCAACGGCAAATACCAATGTGACTTTTTCTGAGTTTGCCTTATACAATTAAAAAATTCCTCACAGACTTTAGCAGATGTATGAAATGTACTATTAATAGATTGACGAAATATCTGATAGACAGTTGTTAGATGCACCTTTGTTTATCACGTAAACAAATTAGGAAACAGACATTAATGAAAATCACTAATTTTTAAACCCAAAGACACATCATAAAACTTGTGTTCTCATCTGTACCAGACAGCCAATAGGAAGTTACGTAAACATTCGACTATTTGTATCTTAAAACATGTGAATTTGTTAACACCTGACGGTTTGTCGATACATTTATCTTGCATTTTGTCTCTGTTTGATGTATTGCAAGAGTGTCATATTACAGTTAGATGTTAATAGGTTTCTAGGACTGCTGTTTTTTTCCTATAAGTGTTGGAATTGGTTTAATTAAAATTGTATAAGTTTGGGTTAACTCTGTATTCTACACTTTAAACTTAATTATACTTATTTAAAACTCAATTACACTATACTTGAAAGAATTGAAGTCAGTGTTTAAACATATTTAAACAAAATACAAAATTTGATTAAGCGATATCTATGGAAAATGTACCGAACTTTCAACGCAACTTTTCCCAGTTATAGTAAGAACGGCGACCTGGGTCGTAGTTTTGTTGCAAAGCGATAGATGGCGGTATTCTCAAATACATTAAAGCGACATCTGGAAACATTTTCTGAAAACTTTAGTCGCATTTATTCTGCGGTAATATTTTATTTTATAGAATTTATTTTATGTATCTTGTTATTATGTCATATCACAGTAAGTCAGCAGGAAAACCTGCTTTTCAATTCTCGCCTGTATTTGCAACTCCCTTAATTTATTTTTTGAATGCAATTCTCGACAATTCTAACAGCTTTTCTTCTCTTCCACAGAGCTACAAAGAAAAAGATGCAGGCAAGGTGGTAGTGTACACGACGACGATGGGCATCGTCAGGAGTACCTACCAACGTTGTGTCCTTGTGAAGAAGATCCTCAGGAACTTACTGGTGAAGTACGAAGAACGGGATGTCTTCATGAGCACGGAGTACCAGGACGAGATCCGGGACAGGATGAGGAGCGACCAGATCTTGGTCCCGCAGCTGTTCCTTGATGGACAGCATATTGGGGTGAGTTTATTGTACTTAAACTTTGGTAAAATAGTTTAAATATAAAAAACAAAATTAAACCAACGGTAATTTTGGTTGTACTGTATGACCTATCTATATAAATAAAAATGAATTTCTGTTCGTTAGTCTCGTAAAACTCGAGAACGGCTGAACTGATTTGGCTAATTTTGGTCTTGATAGGTTCATGGAAGTCTAGGGAAGGTTTAAAAAGTGAGAAAAAACTTTTAGGCGGTACGAAGTTTGCCGAGTCAGCTAGTATATAATAAATATGGCATTTAGATAATAGAAATACGAGTAAATTGAAACACAATGTCCAGGATTAATACCTACTGGCATTTGATAAATTATGTAAAAAGCTTAAGTATGTTAAGTAAGCTATTAGTAGACAAAGCTAAGGATACACTACGGGGCAAGTGCCCAAAGACATGTATTGGCGACATGTCGACGTTGATGTTGTCAGACATGTAGCCCAAAGTCCGGCAAAGTCGCACAACTAAAAATCATTACAAATTTAGGCCGGCAACGCACTTGTGACTCCTCTAGTGTTGCCGGTGTTCACGGGCGACGCTGATCGCGTACCAGCAGGCGGGTGCCTGCTCGTTTGCCTCCTATTCCATAAAAAAAACATTAACTGCTGTGCTAGAACATTAGGTGCTACATAAGATCAGATAAAGAACTCACAAAGACTTGATCGCGAAATTATTATTAGTACACGTCAGTACACATTTATTTAGTTTTCGGTACTATCTTTTCTCTTCAAAGAAAACGCTATTTATTGCTAGATGTCGTGGTGGTCCGGAGGCTTAAAACGCCCGCTTCTCATGCATGAGGGTGCGGGTTCGAAACCTACCAACGGCAAGTACCAATATGACTTTTTCCGAGTTATATATAATTTCGCCATAACAACTGAACTCATCAGCTTATAGTCTTGCGACTGATCGCCGATACATAAATGTTCTCTCTAAGATTACCTAGACACCACTAACAAACGGTGAAGGAAAACATCGTGAGGAAACCTGGGCTTACAATTTCTAATTATTAGTTTGTAATCGCCAACGCGCATTGAGTAAGCATGGGATTTTTTTTTAAACGTTGCCTCACTCTAGGATTATCTCCTGTGTCGTGGATGCGTTTACAAACATACAAGTTCACATACACATGACGCCCAGACCCGAAACAATTTGTGGATCACACAAATTGTTGTTCTGTGCGGAAATCGAACCCGCGACACGTTTTACGGCAGCCGGTTGCGCAGCCAGCGCACCAACCGTGCAGTCGATTAATGCTCAAACCTTCTCCGTGTGAGAATAGGCTTTCCTCAACAGTGGGTATCTATAAGCTGTTGATGATGATGATGACGCTATTTAATTGTATTAACTTAACAACAATTAATTATTAAACTGCCAAATAATTTCTCAATCGATGTTACTTTGACAGTTTTCCGATAAACACCAAAATAACTGTTCAAGGATTCCCAACACAGGTTCCCTAAGATCACAACACAATACAACACTAAGCCATACAATACAATACCGGTTTGTCCTTGAAAACAATACAATAACAAGATTAATAAGACTTCTTGAGACATTCAAGGCTATTTGTCTAAATCCAGGACACAATATTGTGTAATAGGCATTATTTGGTTTTGATTAGTCTAATCTGTTATTGTATAAATTAAATTTGTTTGTAATAACAAAGATTAATCTTTGAAGTTTAGAGGTATTGTCTGGGAGCTAGTTTGATCTCGATATATATTATTTTTAGATAACATCTTGCTCTTCTTTATTTTGAAAACATATTGTGTCAAGCTTCGTATCCACTAGGCAACATTTGGCGCGCGACACGTGAATCTCAATATGTGCGGCAACGCTGCACAACAGCGCGCGACGTTGCCAGCTGCCGCGCAACATGACGCGCGGCTTGTTGTTTATTTTATAGAGCATCGTTAGTTGTTCGTATCCTCGTATCTCTCTTCCTCGTCGCGGAGAACCTAACAGGTAACCGGGGCTCCGGCTCGACGTGCAGGAGAAGGAACGGGGTGGTTTTTAGTCAGTAAGAGTCTGACACTCCCTCCCGCCTCACCCAGGCGGGAGCAGTCATTAGATGATTTTCCCCCATTAAAAAAAAAATCTCTCTTCCTCCATCCTACTCTCATACCACCTCCATCGGAAACACATGTCAAAAAACCGCGTCAACATTCAACAAGTTGCGAAACATGTTGAGCAACAATGTCGCGCGTCAAATGTTGCATAGCGGATACGAGGCTTTGACATACAGTTTTTTCGGAATATCTATAAATTCAAATACAGACCCGGAACAAAAATTTGTGGATCACATAATGATCTTAAACACTATCCCAATCGTCAATGTAACACCAACTTTTCACCAATTATATTATGAGTCCTATATAATACAATAAGATCACTCATTTCCATATCCTCACATCCTGTACAAGTTTCGACGAAAAACAATACCTAACCAAATAGACTACATAATATATACCTATTATATTATTTTTCCTAGAATTTACCACTCCATAATTCCGTTTTCATTCGAAATATTACGTAATATGATGTATCAAGTAAAATATTATTTCTGTACCTTTTTCCAGTACGAGTACCTAAACAATAATACACTTTATACTTCAAGCTATGCTTCCTGCTAAGAAGCGAACCATTTCCTTTGTGTCTTCTTGTTTATTGCTCTGTCTATGATATTGTTCTATGATATTGTTAACATAAAATTGTAGACTGACACGTGATTTTAAAGGGGGTTCAAGTTATTTTTCTAAAACCATCAGTATTGTAGAATGAATTATAACATTACTAGTCAAATATTGTTAGTAAAGTTAACCTAATGGGCTTCTTACACTTCGATAAATAAAATCCATGACGTTATCGTACAAAATTTTGAAGCATCTGTTATATATTGTCGTAACTAAAAAGGTTACAAGCGAAATACTCTCGAAACAATACTACAAAACCATATTCAATCATACGTAGAATATATAAGGTAGGCAAAATTGCACATTACGACACTTAATGCCACTGTGCAATGTAACACCCACTTTTCACTATTTATGTTATGAGTCTCATGTAATAGCCATTGCCATATACCGGGCACAATTTCACACTCCGTGCTACGACTGAGACTGTTTTTGAAAACTCAGTAAAGCTTTGCCGGACCCGGTAATCGATTCCGAAGAACCCGGCATTCGCACTTGAGATCACTCGGCCGACGAGGCAGTCAATCAATCAGCACTCATACAGAATATAAGTTACCACCTATCTCGTAATTTAGATGGACACATTACTCACTTACTCGCAATTAACGTTATTGTATAAAAAATGGCATCGCTCATAAACCGGAGCTATCACATTAACGTAGGGTTGACGCGCTTACAAATTACTAAATATTTTTTTAATACTGCCTCGTTGGCCGAGTGGTCGCAAGTGGGACTGCAAGGGGTCTCGGGTTCGATTCCCGGGTCGGGCAAAGTATTTCTGGGTTATTACAAAATTCTCAGTAGTAGCACGGAGTCTGGAATTCTGCTCGGTATATGGCAATAGGCTCACCCCCTATTACATGGGACTCATAATATAAATAGTGAAAAGTGGGTGTTACATTGTACAGTGGCATAATGTGCACCTCTGTCTACCCCTTCGGGGATAAAAGGCGTGAAATTATGTCTTTAATACCTAAAAAATTCCGCTTCCAATTGTGACCAAAACACAATAAAGAGGCCTTATATCAATCTCTTGTCATAAAAATAAATTCATATAAATACGTTGTTGCAACGTGAAAGAACGGCAGACAAACAAAAATCCATTAATGTAGCTTAATGAGGTAGAACTTGGTACGAATAATTTTCATTCTTTGATTTGCAGTCAATATAAACATATATATATGCAAAATAACATGCGCTGTATAGAACACATTACAATAAAATAATGCATGATTGATTTGAAACAAAACACTCTGTATTCCGAGAAAAGCGGCCCAAAAATTTGACGGTAAAATAATATTTAGGTGCGTTCAACCCTAACAAGAGTTGGGTAAAGTCATAACCGCAGGTAGGATATTCCAGCATCCATTGCGCTGCCAACTTTATTGCAACCGTCTATACTCTACTGTCTGACGAACACTTGTACAATACAACTTATTTATAGATAGATACAAAGCTGTATTACAGTGGTTTGATATTGACAGACACGCCACACGATTGTTTAACATGTATACGAAGCCCTTGTTCGATTGTCGGATTTAACTTCCCTATTATGGTTTTTTTTTAAATTTTGTAGCGTATGGCAAAAGATTCGGTTTCAAAAAATTTGATGCAATATGCATATTCTGTTGTGAGCGCACAAGCTGTGCCGTATGCCATGCACCAAGCCAATGACGGCGTTGATACTGCCTTGACTTTTTTTTCTTGTAGTATCACCTTGATGTTTTTCCCCCGGGTGTTTTTTTCTTATTCTCCTTTATTTTTTAGGGGAAATTTGTCCATATGTGTACGTCAACTCTATCGAATCTTATCTAATAAAATATACTCTATGTAAATAAAAGCGAATCATTAACGAGGTCTAGATGTCAGAAAAGTTATGTCACCCTCACCACTTCACACAACCCTTTCGCAATCTTCGTTTTAGGATTTGCTAAAATGTTTTGAACTAGCCCAATATACCCCTGGGTATCAAAAAAAAGAAGACTATGGCTGCTATAAGAACACTGTTGACAGCAAATCAGTAACATTGGATACCGGTGACCCCCATGGCGTCTAACGTGTTAAGATGCTACACGCTATATTCTATTTAATAGAAAAAGTATAAACCAGATGCGCTCACTAATAAACCTTTTAAGTTGCAGACTCATTTCATAAATTAATATTATATCAGAAAAAATATTTTAAAACGAAATCCTTTTAAAATAATTGATTTACCTGCACGATCGCAAATCCACAAAATCTGTCGGTAGCCGCTGTACTGATCGGTTTGTGGTAC